GGAATGCCACATTGTGAAAAGCTGCAAGAAGCTGAGAAAGAAGATATCAGTAAACTCGTCCAGTAAAACAGTTGATTTTATTCTGCATGTTGTCAGCCACTCCTCATCACAAGAGAGACAGTTAGTCAGTTTAGCTTTTACAATGCATAACAGGATCAAAATGTAAAAGAGAGTAAATCTTTTAAGTCTCCCTTCCCTCCTAGCTAATAGTGAAAGTGCTTTCACCGTAAGTATGGACAATCAAATACACCCCAAGTAGGAATGGGTGCAACTTGCACAGACTTGAAAAAGCTAACTGTTTAATAAGAATAATGATATGTTTATATACATAGCCTGGTCTTTACCCAAGCATAGTATTTTGGTGGGGGAAGGAGGGCATGATTAGTTAAATACCTTGTTGGTTTGATCCTCATTGACTATACAAACATTGCACTTCATATCTGAAACATGGCTGATCTTCATTTTCTGCTGAAGATGTTAATCAGAATATTTGACTATTTTTTGAAAAGTACAGGCTGTAAACTCTCTGGACAGCATTCAAATCTATATAACTGTTTCAGAATGAGTAAAGAGCACAATGAGGCCACGTGAGGCCAGCAATGGCTAGGGGAGAAAGTTTGGATTAGAGACTTCCTGTATGAAAAACATCTGTACTGTAACAGAAAATACCACACTTCTACTATCAGTACATTTAGATATTTGCAAAACCAGTCATCACAGGATATGCATGAAAACACTGTTCACCCAAAATTCCCTTTGACCTTGTGTGAGTGACCCAAGCATGTAAGATTGTCCTCTGACATGAGATTTTTCTTTCTTAAAATGGTTTGCCCTATTTAGTTAAGATGGGTACTTTAATATTAACTATCAAACAGACTCTATCTGTACATTAATATGCATGTGTGCACTTAGTCCTCTGATAAAAATTACAGTAAAAACATTTACTTTTACAACACCTTTCCCCATAAGATTGATTGTACTAACCTTGATGGCCTGAAGTTTTAGTAAAACTTGATCAGAAAGCAAATAGCTAATATCTTGGCTGTAAATTCTATGCTGTCATTCTAGTGACCTTCTGTGGATAAAGTGTAATTCAATTACTGTTTTTAGGAATGTGATGCATATACAGCTCACACCCAGTGAATCAGGAAAAGAAACTGAATTCAGTTCCTCAAATAAAAAGAGAAGCCATGACCATAGATTCAAAAGTTAAATATTAAAAAAAATTCTCAAAGTTCTGCTGCGGATATTTGATGATATTTGTAAAACTGTTATAAAGGGTAGTGGACTTTGCTTTTTTCTATTCTCACACATTATGTCAAAGAGGGGATCAGAGGTAGTTATAACAGTATGAGTGTCATTTAATAGGTGAGAACGCAGGCTCTCAGGATGATTTCCATTAAGTGAAATCATTGTGCCCAATCTTGATAATATCTCTCTGCTTACACTCCACATACCCTCCACAGACCCATGCATAAATAATATTAAGCTCATACTGCATATCCTTAGTTGTAGTGCATACATATTTATCTAATTTACGGAGGAGGAATACTAGCCTGAGAGGTTAAAAAAACCTCCTGTCTCATGACTACACAGCATGAATTACACTAGATTCTGGGTCAGAATATTCATGCTGAAGTTCTAATACTGACACCAACTCGAAGGAGGCAACAAAATCAAAGAAATATCCAATGGCTGCAAGTGTCACGAATAACTTAATAGAACCAATGAAATGTGGTTTAAAGAAATTGTTTCTTAATCCTTTAAATTATTCCATCTTTCTTTAACATGTTGCCTTCGCTTCTGTTTTACAGTAAAACTTCTGCACTTCAAATGCAATATTGTAAAAGCTATACCTATTTTGGAACGGATACAGAAAGTAAAAACCAAGATCATTTTGTAAATTGGATTTTATTTAGCAAAATATGACTAAACACAGGCAAAGTTAGAAATCATATATATTAAAGAACCAACAATCTAAGATTAAAACTTATGTTTGGAGGATTGTATCTAGGAAATAAGTCTAAAGGATGTAGAATGGATAACTAGAGCTGCTAAACACACTAGCAGGATCTTTGGACGTAGATGAAAAGGAAAATGTAGCTTGAATTTCAAAAGTTATAACCACTGCAAATAGCACTAGAGCAACTACTGTGTACAGCTCAGGTGTCACCTGAGAAAGAAAAAAAACAAAACAAAACTAGTGAAAACACTTATCCAGCCTTATAAGTGGCATTTTTTACACTTTTGCAAAATTTGTGATTCAATTGTTGCTGCAGTATGGATGCATAAGTTCACTAGACTGTACACCTAGAACTGTGCCCTTCTAGAATTGAGGCCTTTCACTGAGTTACACACCTTTTAGTTTAACTGAATCAGGAATGCATAAGCTTTTTTGAACAAGAGTTCACTATATCAGATGCTATCTGCTCAAGAAAGTTAATGAAGATTCAGTTCCTCCTTAAGGTGCATCTTTACTCTGCCTTCTGCCTGACCTCAAACTAACATGGCTAGCTACCTCTCTCTAGTCTTTACTTTGTTATTTCTATCCTATCCCCACTTATATTATCCTCTTTTGACTTTGCAGGAGGCAGCTTCTAAAGAAGGACTTAGAGAAGGGATGGATAATTGGATGCAGGTTCAAACCTCCTGTGGCCAAGGTGACCTAGAACATCAGTCTCTGGCATCCTCTGCAAGTTCCGTAACCATTGAGGTCTTGAGCCAAAAAACATGGGAGGGCTCTTCTCCTGTCTAACAGTTGCTAGTCATGGGATTTTGTCTGGTTACAAGTTTGTGACTTACACACATGCACAGAGTATGCATATGTAGCCATGTATCAGCACAGCCCATACATAGCTTCCTGCTACATGCTCAAGGCGGGTCCACACTGCCCATAGAATAGAACTGCAAACTGCACATACATGCTAAGAAAGCCACTTACACAACTGGAAAAACTACCATCTGAGCACACATACTGGAACAGGACTTCACGCTCGGTATCCAGTCTAAGCATAGAAATGGTGAGGGGAGAATGAGGAAAAGTTAAAAAAAAAATTACTCCTCTCCAAAACACCTATGGTTCTATAAGAGTAAGTGCAGCTAGTTTAATTGATGCACATCCTTATATAGGGCTGCTGTGAGTTTCTCTGGTCTTCTCTTGTTACAGAGGGGAGAGAAACCATGAGACTGTACCTGGCCGACTGCTGTCCTGCCTGTCAGATCCCTACTAGGAACAAGAGACAAGGAAGAGAAACAGTCCAAACATGGCTTGTCAAGGAATTGTACGCATTGGCACATTTAAAAAAATTGCATGTCAGACTCATTGCCAATGATCTACTGACTAGACACTCTACTATGTCCAATTGGTGCATCCAATGTACCTGCTACTGTGTAATTTCAGTGCATTTGGAAATTAGATTTATATGCTATAATTCTCTAAATACAATTTAATCTGTGTAGAACTAATACTGTCCTAAGAGTACCTTTATATACCTATTTTGCCTTAGCTAAGAGGAATCTATGTTTTACTGCTTCAGGGTAATGCAATCATTAAAATTTATGTTATGAGTGATTGTATTTTCGTCTATTTCATGTTTATGTATTCATTACTACTGTAAGTTTATTTTTCAACTGTCTATAGTTTTGGGATTACCATTTCATAGGATTTAAAACCCTAAATATGGAGTCAGGCTGGAAGCACTATTGTAAATCAGAGTAAAAATACATTTGTTTAGTTATTTTTGAATTATGGATATATACCTCAAATTTTGGCATGATTTCTTCCTTCTCTGTATCTCAGAAAATACCTTGTTGAAACACAAATTTTGACAAGGAATTCATTCTTTCTATGTGGTCACATGATGATAATTAATTATATATTTCATAACAATAGGCAGGATATGGTAGTTCACATACAAAAATTTGTATCATTGGAGACCAAATGAGAAATTACCAGTAGAAGGTACCTGAAATTATTCCCTGACATTTTGAATTCAACTTTGCCTAGGTCAACAAAGTATCAGAATGTGAAATTTCATTGTCATACCTGACATTCACAAAGTGGGACATGCATTCTTTTTTTTTTAAATATTGTATAGAAAAGATTAAAAACCTTGAAAGATCAGAGACCTTGACAGATACAAGCTTTTTAAAAAGAAGGGTGTGGGAGCAGTGACTGGTGCTTCAGGGATGGCTGCAACCCCATGCCTATCCTCCCCCTACACCTCCAAATGAGCAAACTGTATTGCAGGAGATGCAGCCATGGACTCGTTTTAAGTCTCTGAATCAGGTAAGAGTCCCCTGCCCTCCCATATGAGTGCCCTCTCTTTTAAAAGAGAAAATCCATTTTTTTATGTTTGCCATGGAAAAATGTGGTAAAACCCAGATTTTCTCATTTTAAGGAGAAAATGAGAAAAACCTGGATTTTCTCCTTTAAAAGAGAAAAATGCAAGAAATGGTAGGTTTCCCCTTGCAGTCTGGCAGAGTTCCAGTCTGCAAGGGACTGGGTGGGGAGCAGAAGGGCAATCAGCAAGGTTCACTATGTGCATGTGCACATGTACACATGCATATGACCACCAGGCAGCCTGGAGAGCATCTCTCCACAGGTAGGTGGTGGGGGGGGGGGAAGGGATTGAGGCCCTCGTAGTGAGGGAGGGAGGGAATTGGGCAGGGCTGGGGCTGAAGCTGCTGCCTTGCTGGGCTGGTGTATGTGGCTCGAGGCCTGGAGTCAGAATGCATGGCTGCAGGGCCCAGGCAGGGAGTGGCGAGGAACTGTGGGTAGCTTGTCTGGAGAATGGTTCCCCACCAATATATGCACTCATGGGGGACATGAGGAGCATGTGCCCCCCCCAGATTTGTACATGGGATGGGGGCAGCTGTGGGCTGAGGGTTCAGGCTCCCCACCCTGCTACCCTTCCCCTGGTGCCTCCACAACCCAGTGGGCACAACCCAGCATGGCATAGATTCATAGATTCATAGATGTTAGGGTCAGAAGGGACCTCAATAGATCATCAATTCTGACCCCCTGCATAGGCAGGAGAGAGTGCTGGGGCTAGATGCCCCCCACTAG